ACAGGACCAATGAGTGCCACTAGGGGCTTCCCATCTAATTTCAGGTCAGTTAAACCAATCTGTTGCAAACAGTCTTTGATCTGTAAAGTTATGGTGTGTATATACCACTCAAGGGGGGGCCCATCCCAAGCTTTAGTATAGCTAGGCTAATGAAACCGAGAATGATTTCTTAATTTCCCAAATAAGAGGGTCTTTCTACTGACTTGTCCTATAGTTGGAGTTAACTACATACAACCTTCCCATATCTGAAAGTAGCCATCTTTATATCTATGATTATTGGTTGTCATGGTAGGACCATTACTCTTACTTAGCAGGAGTTCTACTAGTGCCTGTGGAGAGGTCTCAGTGGGATTTTTAGAAAAAATTCAATTATGTGTAGGATCATGAAAGACAGAGTTTATAGGCCACTCAGTTACCTTGTAATGGTGGGCGAAACTATGAACCAGAGAACTATTCCATCTCTCATAAATATAGTCTTGTAACTTATTCCAATCATCTCCTTGAAGTGGGGATAGCAGCCAAGGAAGCTCTGATGTATTTGACAAGGGAAGTAGGCCACATATATAGTTAGATATTTGTTTTAACAACTCTGCATATTCCTGTATCCACACTAGAAAGGAATTGCCTCTCCTTTAAGTGGTAAAGTAATTAGTAAAAGGGCTATGAGTAACATCTTATATAAGCTATCTGAAGACTATTTTGTTTTTGAACAAGAATTTTAACTCCCCCATGGGTTCACAGAAATGTTCGGATTGTTGCTCATACTCAGTGACAGTCTCTGGTTCCCAGGCCTGCTACCTTAATAGCTGATAGAGTTGTCAGGATCATTGTATGGTTCCTCCCAAGTTGTTCCTAAGGAAGGAAATGATGAGGGAAGAGACTTTACCAGTACTAAATCCCCAGGTTGGAATATGAAATTTGCCATCTCTTTAGGCTGAACTTCTATTAGCTGTTTAAGTGTATGCCGGAATTTAGCCAGTGAGGTGACATCTTTCAGTAAAGCACCTGTTTCTCTCCCAAAGAGAAATCATTAGTGAGAAAAAAGGCACCCATAAAGTGTTTCAAATGGACCGAGGCCTGGAATTTGAGGTGTATTTCTTACTTTGATAAGAGCTAAAGGCAGTAGGTGAGTTTCCTGAGCCATTTTGTGAAGATTTCTCTTTAGAGTCTCATTCATTTTTTCCTACCTTTCCCAATGATTGTCGCCTTCATGCAAAATGAAGTGATACAGAATCTTCAGTGCCTGAGAGACACCCTGTGTGACTTACTGTTACTTTAAAAGAAGGCCCATTATCACTTTGTAAGCACTTATGAAGTACAAATCTGGGGCTGATTTCTGAGACCAAAATCTTTATCACCTCTTATGCTTTTTCTGTTCTACAAGGAAAGACCTTAACCCACTTTGTGAAAGTATCTACCCAGACCAATAGGTACCGGAGCCCCCTTACTCTTTGGCATATGAGTAAAATTGAGCTGCCAATATTCTCCAGGATATTTACCATGCCTCTGAATACCTGGAGGGACCACGGTCTGCTTAAGAAGATTGTTTTCTGTGCAGAGTTCACATGTCTTAACTGTCTGTTGTATTGTCTGAGAGAATCCCTTTCCTATTAATAACTTTGAGACCATCCGGTGGGTCTTGTGTCTTCCCAAGTGAAAGGTTTGATGTAAAGACTTAATTTTCTATTAACTAGCACCAGGAAGGAACAGCTTACCATCATCTGACTGTAATGATTCTGATGGAAGGAACTGACACCCATTGGGAGATAGCACATTGGTTATCTGACTGAGAATGTTTGGGTCAAGTATGAGCAAAGGACCCTTCCAGATCAGGGGTCCTGAAGGTGGGGGCCCTTAACAGCTTGTTTTGCACCTGCGTCAGCCAGTTTCTTATCTTGAGATACTTCAACTCCTTTTTGGTGTCCTCTACACTAAATAACTGCCACTTTGGAGAGCATATAGACAAATGATAAAAGATTATCTTCTTATGCTACATTATGGGAAATCCTTTGGCTATTAGATAATTTCTTTCTTTCCACATGGCTGTGTGGGCAGGCAATACTAGCAAAGCATACTTTGAATCTGTGTAAATATTGACTTTTTGTCTTTCATTGAGTTGTAAAGCCCTGACCAGGGCTATGAGTTCTGTTAGTTGGACACTAGTCCCAGGGGCAAGTGAGGAACTTTCAAGTGTCTGATGTAGAGCCACTACTGCGTACCCTGCCTTTCTTGTCCCACTTTTCATGAAGGAACTGCCACTGCAGAAGAGGGTCAAATCAGAGTTGGTAAGGGGTGCATCTAACAAGTCTTCTCTGGCTATGTACCTATGGAGAATCACCTGTTTACAGTCATGTCTTTCAGCATCAGTGTCTTCCTTTTTTGGTAGAAAGGTGGCAGGGTTTAAGGAGGAACGTGTCTTTATTTGAATGGCTGGTTCTTCCGTGATTAGAACCTGGTATTTAAGAAATTGGTTGTCTGATAATCATAGGCTCCCTTTGGAAGACAGAAGTCCTGCCACATTGTGCGGTGTATATACAATGAGATCTTTGCCTAAAGTAAGCTTGGTGCGCTGATGCTATCACTAATAGGAAGTGCCATCAGAAGTGATAACTGATAATAACTACTCCTGGCTGAATACAGTCAACAAGTCTGCACCAGTTGCTGTTGTTGCCCAGGATTAAGTTAATCTAAATTTTGATAACCTTTCGATATTCACTCAGGTTGCACATTGACAGGGGATACCAGCAGCTTAGTGTTGCAGCCTGGAGTTTTGGCCTTAGGTCAGGTTTGGGGAACAGCGCTGGAGTACAGTTTTAGAGCTGGCAACAGCGCAGCCCAGGAAGGCTAAGGACTCAAAGCTGCCATTGATTCAGTTTGGGGAACCTAAATGACTTGAACATTTGGTGCAGAAGAAACAAGCTTCTCTCCTGTAGCAGAGGCCTTTCCTCTCAACAGAACTGATGTGTCTGGCAATTTTTCATAGGATGGACACATTTAGTGTCTTTCATTAACCTGCCCAACAAAGAGGAACTTCTATGCCTTCAGATAAATTTATGCTTACAGATGTTATTATTAAACCTATTATAGTAAAAAGAAAGTCAGATTGGGTGCCTCTGTTGCTAGGAGAATTACAGCAACCACAGCTCTAAGGCACTGATATTTATCTGGACTTCATTGGACAAGGTGTTACCACTGTCTTATCCCTCGGTGAAATATGTAAGCTTGGTCATTCCATCTTTATCTTGAGGCCTGGCCTCCAACAGATGTGCCTCCAGCCACAGTTGTAATGTGTTTTCATCTTTTGTATTGACTCTCTCAAGAGCCTTGCCCTGTCTGACTGCCTATAATATTTCTACCTAACCAGCTGTCTATAATACTAGGACCTTCTCTGGTAGCAAAGCGACTACCAACTCTTCTTAGCAGCACTAAATTCTGCATCCAGTGAAACTTTGCAACTCTAACATCAAAAAGAAACAAAATAGCAATTTAGGTTTTAATGTAAAAATTGATAGGTAACATTAGTTTTAAAATATAAAGAAATCAACGTATTCGTTTTATCACAAAAACTTTTTAAGAAAATCTTTAAGAAATACCCATCTCAAGCTTTCATGAGAACTTTGGACCAAAGATCTATGTTCTGTGTGACTTTGGGATATCAGTTATATTTCTTGGGCTTTCCTAATGTAGGGAATATTCATGGTGGATGTCTTTAGCTTTTAATTTTGACAAAAGTTTCAAGCACAGAAAAGAGGCAACACTACAATAAAATATTTACTGGGATTTTCCAATTATCACAATTTTGCTGTGTTGACTTCATCAGTTGATCTCTCTGTCTATGGACCTATTGATTTATGTATCTGGAACTATTTGAAAATAAATTGTAAACATAAAGTCCCTTTACCATGAAATACTTCACTGTGTATTCCCTAAGAATAAGACCACTGTAAGGACATACTACCATGATCAAAATCAGGAAATTGAACATTGTTGCAATACTACAACTGATGTGCAAGCTGCAACTGATGTACACTGGCTGGGACAGGACAAAAAGGGGGCCTGATTTACTTTAGGTCAGAATTATGTGACTAATTTTTAGTTAGTCCTTCAGTCTTACTTCTTCCAGCATCCTAGAGCAGCTAAAAGGTTGAATTTAATTGCACTGACATGGAGAAAACAGATAGGACAGTTTTGCCTGTTTAAACTCTAATTTCTTAAGTGACATTTCAGTCATGACAGTTAATGTTGCTTGTCAACTTGATTGGCTTGGGAGCCATCTAGGACTCTGGAGGGTCCCTAGATGGATGCTTCTGGGTATGTCTGGGTGGGTAACATAGACATGGCCTTGAGGACAGTATCTGGTCCATGACCCTTCCTCGCTGGTGAGATTCCCCTGCTTTTCTTCTCAGCAAAGTGAGCAACGTTGCTCTACCACAGCTTTCTGCCATGATATCCCTGCCTTGGAGTCAACCTACCATGGACTGAATCATCTAATACTGTGATCTAAAAATTAAACTTCTCCTTCTTTCAGTTGTGAGTTTCAGGTACTTTGTCCAGCAACAGGAAAGCTGACCAATACAGAAAAATTAATGAATATCAGCTTGTAAAAGAAGCATGTGTTCATTGAAGAACATTTGAAAATGAGTAAAAGGAAAGATTATTCAGAGTACTTCTCTAGTCTTTTTCTTTACACATATACTTTGTGGGTACCATATATGTTACATTGGTTGAGACAATAGAAGCATTCTCTGAGAGAGTACTCTAACATACCACTGACTCAGGGAGAGTAGCTAATATACCATTGACTCATTGAGAGTACCTAATGTACTGTTAGCTAAGTGAGAGTACCTAACATACCCTGACTCTGTGAGAGTAACATACCATGGCTCTGACTCCACTCTCATCTTCCAGGAAAAACCTAGGTAAAAGGGGATGTCACATAAAATCTGTTTACAAACTCCACTGGCTTTTTACTGACCATAGTTTCTTTTTGCTCCCAATAGGCCAGTCTTTCAGAGTCTCTACTGTGTCTGCAGAAGGTCTGCCATTTTCACTACTTGAAATATGCCAGTGAAATATATTTGGAATGAGATATTTTACTCTCTCACCCTGTGAAGCAGGAAGCAGGTCCTCTGGAGCACTGATTTCCCAGCAACTTTGAACACCTCCTAGTAGGTATGGGCTAAAGGCACTTACGATTTTAACTTTTTTTTTGAGTAGTCACTCTTCAGGGTTTATTTGGTATTATAGTTGGTGTGACATTTGTTTGCATTGTTCTCAGATGGATCTTCCCTTTTTACATTGTATGGCAATGCACACTACTGATATATAATATGCAAAATAAAATATTGCACAAGACATGCAAAACTGGATTTATACACTGGATCCCAGGCTGTGACCAACTGGAAAAAAGTCAGACTAGGCTTGGGTGGTGAAATGATATAACATATCTGGTTTGAAGGGCAACTGGAGCCTGTGCGACATTGGCCATGGTGTCTCAGAGATGGTGGGGCTACTTTAACCAGTTTAGGATATACAAGTGAAGTACCATCTGGCATCAGGATAGAAATGTGTGGTTTTATATGGCCTGTGTCTCCCAGAATGTAGGGGAGGACAGAATCTTCATTCTGGTAGTGGCCAGCCAACAAACACAACTGGGCCAGTATTATTTACTCTAACCAACCCTTCGTAGTTTTCCACTTCTCTGACTCTGTGGAGCACCTCCCTCACCCCTGCTCCCTTAAAAGAAAAAGGTCAAATCGGACGTAGGTGGCATCAGTGCCTGGCATATATGAGGCCCTGGGTTCCATCCCCAGAACTGAAAAAAAATTCAAATCAGAATAGAACTCAGCTGTTTTCCATATGGCCAAGTTTTTAAAAAATAATTTCCCCATTTTTCTTTTTTTTTTTTCCAGTGTTGGGGCTTGAACTGGAACCTTACATGTTCCAGGCAAGTGCTCTACCACTGGTTTACACTCCTACTGCCTAATCCCTCATTTCTAACTGTTATGCAAGATATTTTACAGAACATGTTTTCCTCTTCAAAGAACCCATAAGTCTCACCTATGGATGACACTGAGCTAGACAGAACTAAAATCTCAAGCCAACAGAAGCTTAAATTTAGGGCTTGGAGACACAAAGACCAAAATCAAGATCAAGAGGTACTGACCATGAAATGACAATACAGGATGAAAAGAATAAACTTAGGAATGAAAACACTGCATGCAACAAGACTCACCAATACCCCCCAAAGATCTGAAAAACCTTTCTCACTAGCCAGCTGGAGACAGATGTGAGCAGTCTTCCTGTCTCCCTCTCAGTCAACCTTCAATAAAGCTCTTTCTTTCTGCAAAAACCAGTGTTAGACCATTGGTTTCTATGCACACGAAGCAGGATGTCCTTACCTGGTGTCACTTTGACTTTATTTTTTTATTTTTATTTTTATTTTTTTTTGGTTTTTCTCCGGTACTCACTTTGACTTTAGACCAACATGCAGAACTGTGAGAAATAAATTTCTATTGTTCACAAGCCATCAGTTTTTTGTTATGGCAGTCAGAATGGACTAAGACACACATCTATAATACAGAATACACCAGAAAACATGCTGTTTACTACTACTTGAACTTATGATTAAAATGTTCAAAAGTTAACTTACAAACATGTACATAAGTTTTCAAAATTGTTTTAGAAGTTTGAGAGTACAGTTCTTTGAGTACACTTCCTGTATCACATCCAATGCCAGAAAGAATTAGGTTGGCTTCTCTAATTGGGTAAGTGGCAGATATCAGGGGTACCTGGAGCCAAGTGTCTTAGTTACTTTTCTCTCCTTGCTGAGACAAAATATCTCACTCAAAATATCTCACTCAAAGTTAAAGGGAGAAAGGCTTATTTAGCTCACAGTTTGCAGAGGTTCCAGTTCATAGTTGGCTGAGTCCAAGGCAGAGCAGCACAAGGCAGAGGGGGTCAAAGAAGAGAACAGTTCATGTGCAAGGTAGCAAAAGCATCATGAGACCCTACCAGCATCTTTCTAACCCTTTTATATTCTATCTAGGCTACTGAGATTAGGGTGATGCCAGACCAATCAGTGGACTGATTTTAGTAATCACACATCCTTTTTTTTGTTGTTGTTGGTACCAGGAATCAAACTCAGGACCTTGCACTTCCCAGGCAGGCACTTGTGCCACTGAGCTATATCTCCACCCCTCTAATCACACATTCTTAATCCCAGCATTGCACCATGAATCAATCACACCCCCTAGATCCAGTCACCTCTGCAAAATCTGTACTTATGACTGCATGAGGCTTTGCGGGGGACAACTAAATACAAGGCATAACACCAAGGCTCCAGAGCAGAGAGTTTTCCTCACTCATATTTCTGTCTTTGGGTCAACCCAAAGAATGGATTGAGCTGAGACTTCTGCCTGATGCACCTACCTGTGGCCTTTCCACTTGGCTTGGGCTTCCTTCTACCTGTCACAGTCAGGATGCCCTCCTAGGGCTCCAGGGCTAAGTATTTGTTCTCAGCAATCCACAGGATCACTTCTGACCAGGTGTAGTGGTTCAAATTGTCTCAGCCAAACCACACTCAGGAGGATGAAATATAAACCTCATCTCTTCCAGAAATGAGGTAAAATAATCTGTGACCGGGGCTTGGGATTTAGCTCAGTGGCATAAGTGCCTGCCTGGCAAGCACAAGGTTGTGAGTTCAATCCCTGGTCCCGCAAAAAATAAATAAATAAATAAATAAATAAATAAATAAATAATGAAAACATCATTCCACCATGATATATGTGTACTTACATTTACGGGGCTGGGGATTTAGCTCAGCGGCAAAAGCGCCTGCCCGGCAAGCACAAGGTCATGAGTTCAGTTCCTGGTACCGGAGAAAAACAAAAACAAAAACAAAACAAAACAAAACAAATAATCTGTGACCTTATTTCAAAACTGCCGCAGGGACAGCCTTTCCTCTCCACTACCCAGCTCAGTTATTATGTGGCTGACTCTTAGCTTCAGCTTGTCCTGGAGTACCAGCCCTCCATACTTTCCACACTCTGCGTGGAAATGCTTGTAGCATTTACCTCACTGAAAGTCTCAAGATTCACGTGTTATTTTAAATCTTCCCAACAAGCAGAGTCTGCTTCCCTAGATAATGGACTACCTACCCCAATTTAAGTGAGGTCTCTCAAAGGTGATTTATCTTTCTGAAGGAAGTCTTCTCCTTACCCCTCCATCTGGCATCAGTTTACTTCCCTAACCCCAACAAGTGCCTTCCACATCTCCTGGGAAATGAAGGGATGCATGCAAAATACCCACCGTCAGTGATTCCCAGAAGACTTCATGGCAACTTTTATCAAATTATAATTTTGAAGAAATTTAAAATATAATTGATGTGCAAGGTCGTGAGTTCGGTTCCCGGTACCAGAGAAAAAACAAAAAAACCAAAAAAAAAAAAAATATATAATTGGACACAAATACAAGGTAAGTGCTGGACAAATACTTGATCATTAATGTGGAAAATACCAAGATTCTAAAGTTAGTTCAGAGATATCCTGAGAAACTATTTTATGAAGAGAGAAGAAAAATGAGATTGCTAGTTGTGAAACTGGTTAATGTCCCAACAGGGAAATAAAAATAACATGTAGAGTTGTATTTTCTGTAGGATATAAATAATTTGCAGATTTTTCCTACCATGACAAAACTCTGAGTTAATGTGTAAGCCCACGGAGTCTGAGCTATAATAAAAAATATATATTAAACCAAACCAAAGACATGTTCTCCTAAGATAGCAGTTTCTGTGAAGGTGACCTACAGACCACTGAAGGTGAGTTCCAGTCAGAAAAAGTCACAGTTATTTTGGTAATAATTTGAACATGTCTTTTGCCCTTTTGTAGCGTTGACATTTAGACTAATGGTGCAAACAACTGCAGAAACTGGGGCACCAATGTAGTGGCAGCAGTCACTGCCCGCTTCATTACTCATTAGTGGGAAGATAAGTCAACTGTACATACCAGGGTCCTTTATGAGGAGGCAAAAATTATTGACTTTATAAAACTTGACCTTTGTGTACACATTTTTAATATTCTATGAGATAAAAAATGCACTAAGACATTCACTGCACACCAAAGTGTCATGTTGTTTCCTCTGGAAGCACTCAGGTGGCTGAGCTACCATCTCAGTGCCACCTTTATTTGGAAAAACAACTGATGGATGAGCTGGTTAATCAGGCTTCAGGATTTAGATGATTTTTTAAATGAATGCAATTAGTCTGTCATTTCAATGAAAACAAGTGACGAAAATTGTAGAGGGTGATAAAATTGGAATTTTCAAGAGAAAATTGGAATTTTGGAACGTTTGTACCTGCCACTGTGAGCTCAAAAGCTTCCCCATCCAAAAGGATTTTCTGAACTGTTCAGTGGTGGCATTAGTGAAGATGGCTTCCTGGTAGGGTTATAATGACACTATATGACTGATGTCTGATGGCACAAAAATCAAACATGGTGTAATAGTTTTGTATTGATGCTCTGACACATTACCACAAACCCAGTGGCTTACAAGATGACCCTGCTGTCATATAGTTCCAAATTTCAAAGTCTGACACAGTCCAGTAGACTAAGATTAAAGTGTTAGATTGGGCTAAGCTCTTTTCTAGAGGCTTCCTGGGAGAATCTGCTTCTTAGTCTTTTCCAGCTCCCAGAGGCCAGCAACCTTCGCAGGTTCATAGATCTTTTCTTTCATTGGCAAAGCCAGTAGTGATGGGCTGGGTCTTTCCACATGGCATGTCTTTGATCCTCTTAACAATCATATTTGGTGAGGTCCCTTTTGCCATGTAAAGAACATATTCATGGGTTCTGGAGAGTAGGATACAGCTACCTTTGGGGCCATTATTCTGACTAACCCACATGGGAAAAAGATTCATTCAAAATTTAAGATAGAGTAATGGATACTAATGTAAGAGATTTATGGTTTCATACTCCACATTGAGGCTACAAGCATAGAGTTATTATCTAGTATCTAAAAGTCTTTTAAAATATTCTTCCCCTCCCAATTATGTATCTGTGTGGAGTTGAATTTTTTATATAATCTTTAACCAAACAACACATTGCACTGGTGGAATGCAAGAACAAATATAAGAATCCAACTTTCTTCTGCTAAAATAGATACTAAAGAGAATTGCAAAATTGTAAAACATTGCTTCTCTTTGCAATGTTATGCTTTAGAAAATACTTTTAAAATATATATTTTGGTAAAAGTTTATTGTTTTTAAATGTTCTCAGTTTTAGTTTACAATAAGGTATCATTCAATAAATAGAAGTTCTACGGAGCCCTCAGTAACTTTTAAGAGTATAAGGGATCCTAAGATCAAAAGGTTTTAGAATTTTTGTTGCAGAGAATAAACTAAGGCTGTAGATGATGTTCCAGGATGACAGTGGAAGAATATTTTTTTATGGAAATGCCAGATGCTATCACTACAAAGAGCGGTCACATATCTTAGGTCTTTATGTCTTTGATAAAAGAATTCAAACAAGACATGTAGGCCATTCGTAAAAAGTACAGGCAGAGTTTAATCAGAGTAATAGGTTTGCAGAGTGACAGAGAATACACTTCTAAGGCAGTTGCACAGAATTAAGGCTTAGGCTACATTTACATGATTAAGTGGGCTTTCAAGAAATACCATTTTCTTCCTCCAGGGTCATTGTTCTTTTACCAAGAATGTGAGGGTGTTTTGACCAGTGTCAGAGGAAAGAAGCTTCCTGCTTACTCCCTAGGTTGAATGTTTTTGTTCAGTTTGTTTTGAGATTTTCCCCAATCTCTCACCCATGCTCTGGATTTTTGTGCAGGTCCTAAAACATGCTAAAAAGAAGTTATATCCTCTTGAGTTTTGGCTTGAGAGCAAATATTTAGTTCAGAGTTTGCACGGCTATAATCTCAGTACTCTGAAAGGCTGAGGCAAGAGGATTGCCTTTCTTAGTGAGTTTGTTATTGATGTACAGGAACACTATCAATTTTTGAAGGTAATTTTATATTTTGCTACATTTCTGAATTTGGTTATTAATTCTAGGAGTCTTTTGGCAGAATTTTTTTGGGTCTTCTACATAGAGGATCATGTCACCTGCAAATAATGATAATTTGGCTTCTTACTTTCCTGCATATATGCCTGCTGGAAATAAGCCCCCAGAAACAAATTGTAGGTACTGGAAAGAATGTCTTAGACACAGGACAAGAGGTTTTGATGAGGCAAAGCTTTTATTCCTGCAGAAGGGTGCAAGCATGAGGTTGGCCATTTTTATCCCTAATGCAGGAGAAGCAGCTGACCTTTTCTCCATTGGTTA